CCGAGCTCTTCGACGTAGAAGCCACTGCAGCAGCAAGGCATCGACGGAGGGACGCGGCCTGCAACGAATCCATTCCTCTTTCAAAGAAATCATCCTCATCTGCTATCGCTCGTGGAATCGTCAAACACTCTTGGACTGCCTTCCTGATGACCTCCCTCAACCGCGAGGGATTTCCTATGGGTAGCGCCTTTGCATCTGTCACGTCCGCTCGACGATAGATGACATCAATATCGCGTTTGAAAAGCTCCATGTTTGGATTTCGAGCGATGCTCCCTTTGGGCGTGCGAAGTAGGGGTTGACCGGCTTGCGTGGTGACTATGATCATTTCCCGCGTGACCCGCGCATGATGGTCCATCATATCATTGCCCTGCACGACAGAAGGCCATATCCTGTCAAGATACGCCGTGACGGACTTTGGATCTGATACATTGACGCGCGCACGTCCAGCAGCCTCGACGATAAGACCAAGTTGAAACCTGCCGTCTCCAAACGCCAGCGCCACCTTCACGAGAGGGTCCTCTGAAACCTGCTGCTCCAAAAGGCTTGGGCGCACTTTCTCTCCTGTTGCCAATACAATCAGCTCGTCAGCCCTGCCAACCACCCGGACCTCGCATGGCCTCTCGGGGTTCACGGTCAACAAGTCTTGCACCACGAAATCCACTCTCGAACCTGGAGCACGACCAATGAGACGGTAGTATTGCGCATCATCTCCCGAGTCAACCGGTTCTATACGAAGATTGATATCGTCGCGGAGTCGTAGGTAACGCCAGTCGTATTCGGCCTCGGGGATGTGTATAGGAGCAATAGCACCTATCTCGGTGACTCCCCAGTGATTCAAGATAGGCACACCTGCATTAGCAAGCGGTTCGGCCACGCTATACTTCATGGGGGCACCCCCGACAGCCACGAAACGGAGTGCTCGGAGCGCGTCTATGCTCTTACTACTTGCTTCGGTGTAGATTTCCTCGAGGATAGAAGGTACAGTCATCAGGGAAGTTGCGCGACACGAGCTTAGGATCGACATGGTCGAAGATCCTGTGGGTATCGTCGTACACGCGGGCAGTGCAAAGGGAAGACCGATGGAGAGTGACAGACACGGGGCGAGCAAGCCGTAGCCGTGATATAGCGGTAACGTCGAGAGGTTCATCGCGCCAGCTACGTCTTCTGGCGAGAGACGATGGCATGAAGCGTATCCAAGAAGATACGCATGCGAGTGGTAAATGGGTTTGGGGAGACCTAGAGATTGTTTTAGAGGGGGGTTTTCTGCAAAAGCTGTATGTGGATCCATACCAGTTGTCCCCGAAGAATGCAGGATCACGACGTTTTTGTCATCATGGGTTGTGGAACGGGAAGCCGTTCCCCAGGATGTTGCAGGGAGGTCACCATCCGCGAATGACCCGTAGGGCAGTGCATGTATGACAAGGAGCTTTTCTGGGAGCAGCGAGGTTGCTTCTTCGACCAAAGGATCCAGCTGAGAGCTTGTCAATACCGCCTGAGCGTCGGTTTCCTTCAGCAAGTGCGCGGTCGCGTATGGCGCTAACCGGGCAGACATGGATAGTACCTATTGATTGGCAGATATGGTAAATCGAGGAGGAGAGCAGCAGAGCGAGAAGACTCACTGGTACGCCGAGACGCAAGAGAGAAATAAAGTAGATGAACCAAGTAACGTCGCTTGCCATCAACAAAGCAACTGGTCTCGCTTTCTGGTTGATGCGAGTTGGAGGTTGCTTCAGTCCGTTCTTTTCCAGCGAGGTGGAACATCGTAGGACTGCGTGATGGAGTTCTTTGTAGGTTATGCGGCGCGGGACCTGATAGATGTGATGGGTGTACTGCACACAGAAAAGTCGGGAGGGGTTGTAGAGCGCATTGAACTCGACCAAATCGGGCAGGGTGGTCAGCGCATTTTGGTTCGAACCTTGCATGTCGAATTTTGGACGGAAGAAAGACGAAGACATTGTGAGATATGAGTGGGGGAGACAGAAGTGCCAGGAACCGCTTGTGTTGGTTGAGATATTTAACGGACACTTAAACATACAAATATGTCTATGACCAAGTGCCAATATCTTACATGTGTTGATCCGCTCGATAAATAGTACCGACTCTACGAATTGGACCAGGGTATGTCATCCAATTATTGTGAGGCTGGCAACTGCCCTGACGTAAAGCACTGCACAACAAGGTAACTCCCGATTTTCTCGCAACCGACTGTGTTACACATGCTGAGCACAGGCTCGGACGGAGCAGCTGTGATGCGGCCGCAGGAGCGCAAGAGCAATTCACCAGGTGAAGTTAATTCCGAATTACAGCAGAGCGCACTGACTTCTCGAATAACCGCCAATAAACCACTCCGACGCTCACAACATGACGCAGTTTCATCGTCTCACAGATAGTCGCTCGACTTTGACAAGCGGACACAACACAAAAGGTTACCGTAAACATCACCGTAACAGCGCAGATACTAGGGGCGTCAAAAACATATTAGACTGCGAGAAGAAAGCTCGAGGACGGATCTGATCATACCTGGCACGATCTGCAAGCACTGGTCTCGCCGATGATCGCTTTCCACACCAAATATCAGGCACACACGCACAATTTTCTCGATACCCCGAAGCTTTCCCTTCAAGTCTTCGCCCCTAGATTCCTGCGGAGCGGAAGAATATGTTTTTGACGCCGATTTGGCTCATTTAACATCGTTTGCTGCACTCACCGTTCATTTTGGCAGACTCGGAGGTTGAAATCCGATGATGCGATGCAAAACGAGGCTCGGTTTAAGCGCGAACTACTTTGACTGACTCCTCGGAAACGATCCCTAACGCGCATCTGCCAGTGAGTAGCGCCCAAAGGACCCAGACATGATTGACATTTACGTGGAACGCGCGTGTATGTAGCTCTTGGCTCACAAGTTACGGTTCCACAGTGGTCAGGTCAAGTTGCTATTCCAGCGCACAGACTCGTGTGTCGCTCGACGTCGAACGCCCCCCGTCGGCTCGAGTACCGTACGTGACCCACAGATATGACCGTAGGCTCGCTTGATAATACCGACTGAGTCTTCCCCGTACGGCAGAGGCGTCCGCTCTCGTCTTCCATGAGGTACACCCTGTGGGAGCATATGAAAACTGGTATGGAAATTTTTGGAGATCAGAATATGCGCTGTGTTTGATTTCAATATCTCGTTAGCACTCACTTGATAGACCGCGATGCCACATGGCTTGCCATATACGGGGGACTAGGTCCGCGGGCAACTCCTTCTGGCAACGACACCTATCTTGCTCGCCCGTCTTTCACCGGTTTCGTGCATTTCCAAGTATCAGTCGGATCATGTTGGATGTTCTACCAAAGTCAGCCTGTAGTTCACGGTCGGCGGTGGAAGTAAGGCGACTCTTGTATGCAAAACAATTCTCGACGGTGAGCGTTTCCATCACCGTTCTGTGGCCACCAGGGAGCACCAACGATATAATGGGATAAGATGAGACCGTGATGAAATCTTGCCGGTGATACCTCATTGGTTCAAGAGTATTCAAGACGTTAAGATACTGCAGTCTGGCTGTCGACTAGCTCGCTGGTGTAGCCGAGAAACTGGAGAAGTTTTGTGAGTCCTCGTCAATACCGGATATAGAACAATCAAACGTACATGGCACCGACTTGAAGTTATGGAAGAACAAGCAAAAACAGAGGTGGGTTGCCAATACGGTCAGCAGGCTCATTGTTCTGTCGGTACTTCAATTGGCGAAGTTACGATATTGGGACAAAGAGGTCGAGGAAGTCGTCCTGGTGGCTAAAGTCGAACCCCGTGGATGCAAACCTTCCTTCCCTAACGGACCCGTTTGTTCAGATATGGTTTTTACATCCCCGCTGCCAGACCATACCGAATGGTATGCTGGCTGTAAATTGAATGTAGATTCGACATTGTTCCATGCCAAGCGTCGGGTGAACTTGGCTCAGTCTCGGCTTAGCACATTGAGAATATCAAAGAAAATAACGTACAAGTCAGCTGTATTGGTCCGGGACTTTTATACGCCACTGCCCTTGACTGCCCGGGACCAGTGACTTGGAAATGCACCGGGAAACTTTGAGCGGAAGGAAGCGGGCTGTTCAGTGATACAGATTCTTCAGGCAGACCCCTGTAGATAACATCCCGGCTAGTATGTCCTCCGCGGGAGCGGAAGAGTTATTCATAAATACGTAGATAAACTAAGTTTAAACCACAGACTCAGGGTTGGAATCAGTAGAACTCGATTGCAGTTGAGTCAGACTTACCAACTCGCGAGTATATGAACACAAAATCCTTCCTCTATGGTGAACAATTCCTACAAAGTTCTTCGTACGTGAAGTTGGCGGGCTCGCGTGAGATTTAGCGCCCTGGTAGATTGTGGTGCAACCCTGCCCTAAACTCACCGCCGTATTTAAGGCGCTACCCAACGATGTTTGTTTCCTTAGAACATACTCAGCTAGGATCTATTTTATAGTTTCTAACTCGAGTCTCGCATGTTTATTCATGCCACTTCCTTCAAATCCAGTCGATGATCATCGCGTTCGCCCGTCTTACCGAGAACATGGCCTGCACCTTTGCAGGTCTCGAGGACGTTTGGCTTACACCTTGCGCGTGCTGCTTTTGCGGTCGTGCAGGGAGTTTGCCAGCGGGTTGAATGTCAGTCTGATGGATTACAACATGGATTAGGTTTTGTTACATGCCCTGTATTGTATTGACTGTATATATCAATGCAACTGCTTTTTTGCCATATCTTAAATGTCTAATTGAGTGAGACTGTTTATGTATCAATGCCAAGAACTGTGAGTATGTGCTGTATCAAGGGATTTGCTTGGAGGTGTCGGTGATGGTTCAATAGAACTGCTGAAGTAACTACTACTTCACCAAGATGAGTATGCCAGGTTTGCCACCGAGGGACCTTTTTATATACACACTACTAAATAGAGCGCAAATGAATGAAAATAAAGTGAAATTTTTGAGAGAGATAATAGTCGACATAGAAAAAAAAGGTTACACTGAAGGGGAATCGAACCCCTGCCGCTTGCTGAAGTGCTTAGTAAACCCTCGTGGAAGGCAAGCATGATAACCACTTCACCATCAGTGTGCGCTAAGATGTGTAACTGAAAAACTCTGTTCCAGAATGTTCCCCGAGCAAGCACGTAGAAAAGATACAGTCTATATTGGCTTGTGTCTAAGAATACATCTAGTTCATCTATTGATATGCAACATGAAGAAACCGTCCGAATGAGATAAATAGTCATCGATGTAAGACCGTAGAAAGACTGCAAATTACGCTTAAGCCAACAACGAGAGCGCTTCAGAGAGGCGTTGCGACACTTCGCCAACCTGTCAAGGATTATCAGCAAGGACTCGGTGTGAAAGATACAGAGGAATACGTACATGTCTAGGGTCGAAAGGTTCAAAGTGGTTGCCAGGGATGTCAAGCACTGGCACCTTGCTGCCGAGGATTTGCTCCCACTCAACGACCATCGTTGCAGGGTCCCTCCTCTCCGCAAGGAAAGCATCAGATTGGCTGTCGACCTTCTTGACATGGGGGAAGCCCTCGCGAGAGCGGAGCATCACAGCTTTTGTGGGCACAATGTTCTTGGCCGGGGAGTGCGAGGGATCATATTCGACAAGCGCACGAGTTGCGAATTGGATTTGAATGCGAGCAAGCTCCATCGCTTTGCTCGGTGAGGCCTTGGTAGAGAACGCAGCGTTGATCACGTCATCCGAGAGGGGGGCGACCGTTGTAGGGTGAGGGGAGTCGATAAGTACCAGGCCGGGTACGTTGAAGCCGAGTGCGATGAGTTGACGAGCGACCTCGAAGGCGATGACACCACCAATGGACCATCCTAAAAGTGATCGGTTAGCACAAGCGTACAAATTTGTAACTGTGAGACTTACCACCGACTAAGCATCCCGATGCGCCGTTCAAAGTCTTACGGATCAAGCTGACATAGTGGCTAGCCATCTCGAGCAGGCCACCCTCCCACTTTCCGCCAGTGGGGAACTTGGGGTTGTGGATACCAAAGACCGGGCGGTTCAGGGAAGAGATGCGGCTGTAAGGATGAGCGACACCGCTGCCATCATGAATGAGGAACAGCGGGAGTGCACCGGGAGCACCGCCGGTTTGCAGAGGGACTGGGTTGATCTCCGTGCCGAAAGTGCTGAAGGACTCGGCTTTCTGTGACTTCTGCTCAACGACCTTGGGAGCCTGGGGAGGAGAGATCACATCGTGGAGCTCTCGGATGGTCTTAGCGGTCATGAAGACATCTTCCGGTAGAGTGATATCCAGTCCAGTGCAAAGGGCGTGGTGCGCCTCGATCGACATCAATGAATCCAAGCCCATTCTCTCGAGATCCTGGTCCTCAGCAAGGTCGCGAGTAGCGATACCGAGCACAGAGGCCATGATCTCCTTCACTTGCTCCAAAGACTCTGCTCTGCCCTCGCCGCTAGCCAAGGCAGGTTCAGGCTCATGCAAGGTCACCTCGGTATCGCTTGAAGACGCTGAGTTGCCTGCGGGGGCACTCGGCACACTCGGCGTAGAAGAGCCGACAGCAGCTTGAATGTCGCGAACGGTCTTGCACGTCATGAAAAGATCCTCCGGAAGAGTGGTGTCGAGGGCTGCACACAAAGCATGGTGAGCCTCAATGGACATCAGAGAGTCCAACCCTAGGCGTTCCAAGTCTTGGTCCTCAGCGAGTTCCGAAGGGGCAACTCCGAGCACGGATGCCATCACCTCCTTCACTCGCCCGGTGTCGATAGGGGCGGGAGCCGGTGCTACCTTAACGGGGGAAGACTTCTGAACAACTGCCTTGGCGGCCTGAGGCAAAGCCTTCTGAGGGGCCGCATGCTTGGTAGTTCCGGCGGCGGACGCCAAGATAGCCTGGAAGCCGCTCATTCTGAGCTTACGGAAGCGCATACGCTTCATGTGAGCGACGATTGTGACCTCAGGAGTACCCAGCTCGAATGCATAGGCATCTGCGACTGCGAGAGTGTCGGACAAGAAGCCAATGTTGCAGTACACACCGTACTGAGCCTCAGGTTTGAACAACTCGGGGATGGCCTTGACCTTGTCGACCTGGCTGCAGATGAAAGCTTCGTTGTTACCGGCGTTGTTGTTGATGACGAATCCGGCGGCATGGAGCAGGGTATCCATGAAGATCGGATTAGCCACGTAGGTCCCCTTGACCGTGTTGGCCGGCAGCTGCACGATGGCGTAGGCGTCGACTCCGTTGGCGTCGACCGTGATGGACTTCATCGTGTGGTAGGTCGAAGAGTAAGCGACGATACGGGAGAAGATGACATCGTAAGCGATGCGAGTGTAGAACGTCTCCGGGTGGCTATTTCCAGAGGGAGACATCACCTGAGTCTTGCGGCGCTCCACCATAGTCGACGACAGAGAGAGCTTGGAGCTGGTGTTGGCTTTGGTGGGAGTATCGAAGACACCACTGCAATGAGCCTGCACCTTGGAGGGATCTGTGGTGTAGGTGGAGATGGTCCAGCTGCCAGCATGCTTCTCTGAGGGAGAAGCGAGTGAAATCTCAATCTTCATCGTCCTCGGTACATCACGGGAGTAGACTAGAGGGTTGGAGAAAGTGATATTCGCCAGGGTAATAACCGTCTCGCGAGTCATGAGTTGGTTGTGTTCCAACAAGAGCGACGCCGCGGCGCTAGCAGCCTCGATGTACACCGATGCAGGGCAAAGACCATGGCCGGCCACTTTGTGACCTTCGACGAGGTAGGCGAACGTATCGACCTTGGTCTCGAAGACTGCAACATCTGTCGTTCCCGGTGCAGGGAGGGACTTGCAGAAGTTGACAAGACTGAAGCGAGTAGGAGTCAAGGTAGGCTGTGTTACAGCGGCAGGAGCAGACGTCGGAGCCGCCTCCTCTTGGAAGTCAACCCAGTACCTCGTCTTAGCGAAAGGATACGCGGGGATCTCCGTGAGGCGTGCCTTTGGAGCGAGATCGGCATAGACCTTGCGCCAATCCAGAGTGTTGGGGATACAATAGAGACTCGACAAGGAGGCGCACAAAGTCTGCCAATCACCGGCGTTCTTGCGGAGCGATGGCAGATACATCGCCTGATGGGAGGTAGCGGGGATGGAACGGAGCATCGGGAGACTTGTGGGGTGGGGACCAATCTCAATCCAAGCAGAGACAGAGGAGAACTCCTCGCGCTGCATGAGTTCCTGAATGCCTTGCTCGAATTTGACCGGTTCACCGCAGTGACGAGCGAAGTATTCCGGGACGAAGACAGAGGCATCTCCGGCAGAGACGACGGTGCCGTGAACATTGGAAAGGACTGGGATCGAAGGAGCGTTGAGCTTGACACCCGAGGCGAGGGATGTAATATCCTCGAGGATGGGGCTCATGGCGCTTGTGTGGTATCCGTAAGGAACATTGACACGCGCGCACTTAGAACCCGACTGCTTGAGCTCCGCCTGAAGTTTCTCCAACTGAGAGATATCTCCTGCAACAACGCCATCATCGCAGCTGATAGAATGATGGATCAGCTCAAGGACAGTGAAAAGTGGGAATGGTACACACCTGTTATAGCAAGCGATCGAGAGTTGATCATAGCTGGAGTTGCTCTGGAGGTACTGAGTGAGATTCGCAGGGCTCATCTTCACCGCGAGCATGCCTGTGCTGTTAGGAACACACTTATCGCCCATGAGGTTGGCTCTGCCAGCAACGAGATGAAGTCCGTCATCGAGGCTGAGAACACCTGCTGCGACAAGCGCGGCATACTCTCCCAGGCTAAAGAATATAAATGAGTATATGCTCCAATATAATCGTGATTGACATACCTGTGGCCGACGACTGCATCCGGCTTGATGCCCCAAGACACCCACATAGCGGCCAAAGCGTATTCAAGGACAAATACAGCTGACTGGAACGAGCGGAAGTCCTCATCGACTGGAGAACCTTCAGCAGGATTAATGATGCTGAGGATTCCAGGGAAGCCCCACGAGACCAACTTCTCATGGCACTGGTCGACGATCTGACGGAACGAAGGCACAGAGTTGTACAAAGTTGCACTCATGCCAGAGTACTGTCCTCCCTGACCGGAGAAGACGAAGACGACCTTGCCCTTGTTCTCATGCACCTGCAGCGCCTGCGCAGTGCGGAGACTAGCAATGAGCTCCTCCTTGGTCTTGCCAACTGCAGCAAGACGGTAGCGGAAGGTCTGCCTACGAGCAGTAGCGGTGTAGGCAAAGTCGGTAAGGGCAGAGAGGTCCGCAGTATTCTCTTCGATGTACTTGAGGTAGGCAGCGCGCTGCTCTTCAACAGAGGCCTCGCTCTCGCAAGATACACCAACGATGAATGCAGGGGCAGTAGAGTTACCCGACGGAGAGGATCCCTCTTCCAAAATGAGGGCTGCGTTCGAACCGGCTGCACCAAAGTTGTTTAACAGGCATAAGCGCTTCTCGCTACCACGAGGAGCTTCCCATGCCGTCAAGGCGGTGTCAATGGTAGTGCCGTCAGCTGCAAGATCCACGATAGCTGGGTTGAGTGTCTTTAAAGAAATGACTGCAGGAATGGTACGCTTGCGGAGCATGAGAAGAAGTTTGGCAAGACTAGCCGCTCCTGATGCAGCTTCAGCGTGCCCAATGTTCGCCTTGATAGACGTCAGATGCAATGGGTTCTCTGGAGAACGTCCAGAGGCAAATATGGACCTGATGCTCTCGATTTCAGTAGGATCGCCAGCCTTGGTGCCTAAATAACTGGTATCAATGATTGAGTTCTGTAATCAGGAAATAGTAATACTTACCCGTGCCGTGGGCTTCAATGACACTGATACGGTGAGGCTCGATACCAGTAGATGCAACGAGTTTCCTAAAGAGGTCCATCTGGGTTGGCGGATGCGGGTGGGTGATGGACTCGGCGTTGGCAGACTGATTGACCTCGATACCACGGATAACACCGAGGATGTTGTCGTTCTCAGCCACAGCGTCAGATAACCGCTTCAGGACGAACATGCCGCAACCTTCAGAACGACAATATCCATCTGCGGAGGCGTCCCAAGGCTTGCATTGACCAGTCGCACTCAGGAAGTGAGCACGATCAAGGCCAAGGTACATCTATTGGATGATAT